GTTTGCTTCCTACAAAAGTTTTTCATATGTGCTCTTCTGGAAGATATTTTGAAGATAAACCTATTTATTTGGTAGCTATACCATCTTATTATCTTATATTTTCTAAGTTTGCTTCCTACAAAAGTTTTTCATATGTGCTCTTCTGGAAGATATTTTGAAGAAACCGATGGTTAAATAAATTCTGAAAAAGAGCAACTGAAAATCGTAGGAAGGAGAAAAAACAAAACAAGCTATACTTTTAAAGTAGTAGAACAATAAAGAGCTGGTAGTTTGTGTATCAAAGATTCTACAAAGTTTCTTTCAGAGACACATTTTTAAATAACTTATAGCTTTCACTTTTTCTCAACAAGAAAAATATATATTTACATTTTGGAATTATTGTAGAAGTTCCTATGTATTTTTTAAGATATCCATAATTAATCAATGTCTCCAATATGCAGCTTAATATAGGTAAATTAAAAATGTTTTGTTAAGCTAATGTTTACCTTTGTAGAGATGAAACGTTAAAAAAAAAACACAGGTTTTAATTGGCCCATTAGAATCTGTATTTGAGAAGCATTGTAAAAACTGTCTAACTGATATGGAAGTAAATATATTTTCGCGGGTTCGAATCCCAGTCCCACCAAACATGCTCGCCCTTTCAGCCGTGGGGGCGTTATAATGTGACGGTCAATCCCACTATTCGTTGGTAAAAGAGTAGCCAAAAAGTTGGCGATGGGTGGTGATGACTAGCTGCCTTCCCTATAGTCTTACACTGCTAAATTAGGAACGGCTAGCGCAGATAGCCCTCGTGTAGCTTTGCGCGAAATTCAAAACAAACAAACAAGTACTATCGTGTTTAAAATGGGATACAAAGCGCTACTGAGTTTAAACTATAAAACAAAGTATTATTCAGTATCAATTGTTATACAAAATACTGTCATGCGCATTTAGATAGTAAGGTGCACGCGCATTTTCAGGACAGACAAAAACTAAGTATTATTATAATATCTATAATTTTAGACAACCGTCCCCATACTTAGGAACGTATACATGAGCTAATTTTTAGTAATTCCGCGCTTTAAGAATCCGCATTTAGGGTTTCACATATTAATTGAAGAAAATACGTAACTCTATATATTATACATACATATATATATACACACATTTGCATTATGCAAAAAGGTTTTAATCACGTAAGTTAAAAAAAAATGTTTAATGTGTCCTAGGAAATACTTCGCAAAGCTTAGATGTGTACTGTGTATTTTGGTGTGCACGTTTGTAGTAATTTTTGTGTAGTTTTTACGAACTTTAAAAGTGCTCTCACTAACTAAACCTTTTATATATTTATAATATGAAAATAAGTAGGACTTGATTTCATTATAACAACAGCAAAGGTGTGGAATGCTAAACAGTAGTACCGTTAGTGGCACTTGCAACGGTGAAAAAAGAATAAATTTTTATATGGTAATGTTTTTACACACAGTTTAGCCTCCTCGTTGTAATGAAACGTTTCGTAAAAAAATCACATAAGCAGTTCGTGTTGACATTTGGAATATATTAATCTACAAATAAGTACAGCACGGCCTAATAACTATATTTTATTCTTTCCAGTCTTTTAAATTGGAATTAAGAATAAGGTAATAATTCAAACTATAAGATAAACTAATTTCGGTCGGTTCTTCATAATGGAAAACTTACTGCTACATGAGAAAGAAACGTACATAAACAACATCCAAACTAATTTTCCTTCCTTTGTTCATTCCATGGACGTCTGAAATTCTTCTAAAACTTTAGTCAGTTTATTTAGATGGGAATGAAAACATAAGATATAAGTATTCTTTCGATTACTTTTGTCGGAAGAACATTTAAGGAAGTACATAAGAAAAAAAGTATTTTAAGGCTGTATAGAGTCACGCAACCATGGTAACAACCGATTCGAAGATACATAAAGCAAACTTTATGGCCACAGCTCTTTAAACAAAAACAATTTATTACATGACAAACTCCGGTTTATGTTGGTCCAGCAATAAATTAATACGTGGTTATTAAACATTGGCGTGAAAAATATTGTAAACAAATAATTTAGCAAAATTTAAATTAAAAGTCTTTTCGTTCTTCGTTAATACTTTACATTTTTGTTTCTTTGTTTTCTTTTTCAACTTCAGAGAAACTTATAAGCTTGTTTTTCAAACCATTGCCTTATATGTACGGTTTACTGTTGTATGGGTTTATAATTGTTAGTAATTCTGAAAATATGCAGTTATTATAAACAAATATATGACTTATTCGAATATCATGTGCATATATGTTTTTCAAGAAAAATCAATTAAGTCCTGTTTAACCTGAGGACAAAAATATTTAACATATTACTTCTTCTGAGAAGCCATTTCAAGTTCTTATTTTTACAGTTAACCAGACCGTTGCAGACGAACAAGAATATCGTCTTACGCGGTATCTGATGTCCAACTATGATTTGGCTGTCCGTCCTTCCCATAATTCCTCACTTCCGCTTCGCTTGACCTTTGATCTTTCTTTGCATCAAGTAATTGATTTGGTAAGTTAGCTTTGCTGCGTTCAATATTTTTTGAGATTTTGGCTTAAACTGCAGCGCTGCCTATCTTAGTTGAAGAGAAACGCGTTCTTGTTTTCATTTATTATCTAAATTTTGTTTCAGTTCTGCTTTAGTGGTATAAATTTCGAAAATCATATGAAAATATTTTCAATTTACAGAAACATTGTTCGATTTTCCCTGGATTATTCAATTTTCTCAGCAGCTGAAAAAAGGTTGCAAATAAATATTACACGCTTTGCTGAGCCTCTGTTAGCCTAATCTGAAACAGATTTGAAATGAAACTATCCATTACTGTAGTTCATACTCTATATTCTAATAAATTTGTGACTAGATTAGGATATCTTTTGATTTATTTTAACATTAATTAGTTGCATTTACAATGTTTAGTATAGAAGAATAAGAATCTACTCATAAATATATCCACAAAATAATGAATTACGCAGTTCCATAATTAATCAGGTTGCTCATTTTTAAGATTTCTTTTTTGGGGGGGGGATTCATAAAATAAGGGTAGGTGGTTTTGCTTATTATAGAAAAAACTTTAATTATTCATAGTTTATTTTGGATTAAAAATATCATTAATGGTACTTTTAATTATTTTGTAGAGCAAGCGGCTCTGTCATGTTTTCAACCCTGTTTCTTTGTTTTGTGTTTCTCAAACAACTTTAATGTGTTTAAATCTATTTTTCCCTTATCAGTATTTTAGGCTTATCTCTATATGTAAATTAAGATAACACATCGCAAAACTTTAAGAATCGCACATTTTTCAACATCGTGAATTACTGATGTATATGTATACCTGTTTTTATATCTGCATAGTCTAAAATATTTCAAAATAATTATCTCTAACAATCTGACCCGCAGACTGCGAGTCGAGCTCCTTAGCCACCTAACCATGCCGGGCCGATAGTACTTTCTACTACAATTTATCTGTTATAATAATACTCAGTTTTTGTATGTCGTGAAAATTCACTTGCACCTTACAATGGAAATACGCATGCAAACGACAGGTGGATGTTAATATACTTTAGTAGACATTTTGTACAACAACATATTAAAGGTTTATCAAAGTTTTTAAAAAGGTCTAACGTTAGGTCGTACAATAATATTATAAGATTATTAATTGACAGCATTAAGTACGGTAAAGTTTAGCCCTAACTAAACTAAAGCATAAACGTACACAAGTTACAGTGTTAATTTATCTCTTTATCGATTACAGACCGTACTTAATAAAGACTTAACTAATGTCAGGCCTAAGACAAGTGGACTTGTAGATTTTGGCGTCTGCCATAAGAATTATTTCGTGTTATTCTAGAAATTCCGTATTTATTGTTGCAATATAGGTACTAATTTGACTGCAAGCGTTTTGGGGGACATATTTGATAAAAGAAAATAATTTAAATTTTCTATCCTAGGATTGCCTTCCCCAAATAGTGTGGTGCCACATACAATGTTAAAAGGTATAATTGTTTCTCAAATTAAAGAATACATAACAGTCTGCAACAAAAACACTTTTTTATATATAACGTAGAATTGTTAAAAGATAAACTTCTATTAAATGGTTATAATAATTATAAAATTAGTAAAGTCTTTAAATTATTTTATAATAAATTTCATAAATTATTAGAAAGTAAATCATTTACAAACAACTTGAGTACAATTATTTCTAACTTGAAATATTAGGCTAATGAGAGGTCGCTAGCATATAAAATCTTATTTTTAAGACTAGCGTTAACTTTATAATACTTTTAGTATTTCTGGGTCGGAAAGACCAACTTCAGGCAACTGGGCCTAGCTCAGTTTACCCAGTTATGCTTGAAAGTCATGTCCTTAGAAAGGGAGGAGGAAGGGGTACCAGAACTATATCGGTGGGTTTATTGTTTATAGTTAATAATAAAACATTAACTGAAATATTATTTGAAGTATTACTGCTTATACTATATTGAATAGTTATTAATATCTTGCAGTGATAAAGTGTCAATATTATTACAAGAAATGTACAGTAAGGTTATATATTTCGTAATTTAATAGCTGAGTAAATATACTAGAGAGAAGATTGGATGATCTATGATAGAAATCAAGGGTGGTTTAATATCAATTTCTATTTTCATGGGTTTTTTAGGGATAACTATCATACCCACAACTGGCTATAAACAGTGAGTGATAGTGGGATCTGGAACGTTGTGGGTTTTAGCTCCCAGATCCTAATCCCCCCTTTTTTTCGGTTACATGATGACTAGCTTTGAATCTGTTGTTTTGGTTATGTCTGGTAGACGGAATATCCCCAATGCTTTTGGGAACTATAACCGCATACATTTTTACTTTAAAATGATACCTTTTGTACAAATGGTATAATTTTACATTGTTACATTAGAACTTTGTTGGTGCATTAACATACTTGTTGGTGCGTACATCTACATGTACAATAAATAAAATGTAGGTTATATTATAATTTTGTCAGAGCTATACAGTGCTGAGTGATCGCCTGTACACTTTTGATGTAATACAGTTTATCTGAAAAATTGTATATATATATATATATATATATATATACTGGCCACTTTATT